ATATTATTTAAGAGAAATATTTAATAATTAATATAATATATTTTTATTAAATATATAAATAATAAAAGATTATAAAAATTAAATAAATGAAAAAAGAATCGAATTTTATTAATTCTATAATAAAATTTAAGCTATTAAATACTTTTAAATATTTAATTAATATAAATATAATATAATTAAATATAAAAAATAAATATAAAAATAGAAAAAATAGAAAAAAAATATATATATAAAATAAAGAACTATTATAAAAAGAAAAATAATATATAAAAGACTATAGCTTTAATATATAACTAAAATCTTAAAAGCAATATAAATATATAAAATATTTAAGAAATCTAATATTAGGCCAAATTAGAAAATTAATATATAATTAAAAAAAATACTATTTTTTATATTTTTAGAAAGGTTTTAATATTAATATAATTATTTTTTTAGGAATTATATATATAGTTATAAAACTCGAAATATAAAATATAACTAATAAAATATAAATAATAAAATATAAATAATAAATTAATAAAATATAAAATACGAAATATAATTATATAATTTTATATTTTATAAATAATTCAATTAGTAAACTAGATCTTATTAAGCTTAATAAATTTAGAAATTATATATTAATATTATAATATTATAATTCTTATTTCTAAATATTAGTATAGCTATAATTATTAATAGTTATATAATATAGTTATATAATATAAAAGTAATTAGAAATAATAAATATAAATAATAAATAATTATTATATAACCTTATATTATATAAGTAATTTAATTAGTAGCTAGTTTCTATTAGGTTTAATAAATTTAGGAATTATATATTAATATTATAATATTGCGATTTTTATTTCTAAATAATATTAATTTTATTAATCTTATATAAATAGTATTTTATAACTATATAATAATATTATATATTATTAATAAACTAATACTAATTAGTTTATATATATAAATTAGAAAAGATTTTAGATTAGTTCTAAAAATATTTAATAGCCTAAAATAAATCTAGTCTATTTTATATTAAAAAAGAAAACTATTTATTAATTTTATAAAAGTATTTAATAATTTATAAAGAAAATATCTAGCTTTTACTAATTAATAAGTAATTAGTTATTTAATTATTTATTATTTTTTAAAATTAATTTCTTTTAATTCTAAAACTATTTTTTTAGAAATTATCTTTTCTATTTATATAATACCCGTATTTATAGAACTCTTTTTCCGGAATATATATCCTATATATACCCTTAAAGCTTTTTAATTATAACTTTAATTTTACTATTAAATCGAGTTCTTTAAGCTTTAGATTCTTTTGGAATTATAATATTTTATTTCCTAAATTTCTTATTATAAACGAAATTTTTAAAAGCGAAATATTTATTTTAATACTCTTATTAGATATCTAAATATCTAATATCTCTATTAGATATCTGGTATTTCTATTAAATATCTAGATATCTGAATACTTAAATACCTTTACTATTAAACTCTTTTTATAAACCTATTACGAATTATTTTACTTTTGAATTTCTTTTACTATAAACTATATATATATATACTAGAGAGAACCTGAACTCGATTTAGTATAAATACTAATAAGAGAAAGAAACTAATTAAGAAATAGAAAAATAGTATTAATTCGGTAATTATAATAAAGAATAATCTTTAGAAATATTTAATTACTAAGATATATTAATATATTTTATATAGAAAAAATAATAATAATTTATAGAATTTATTTTAGGATAATTTTAAGAATTTTAATACTATAGTATTTAGTTAAATTAATTATATATTATTATAAAATCTTTAAGTCTAATTTCGGTATAATAGTCTTTATATTATATAGAATTATAAGAGTCTTACTATTATATAATTCCTTATTAACCTTATATAAAAGAAAATAAAAAATATATAAAATAAAGCTAATATTATTAATAATAATCTAATTAGATTAGATCTTTCTAGGGATCTATTATATTAATTTGTCTTATTTTAGATAAAACTAGATATAAGGAAATTAGATATTTTTAGTCGAGAAATTAAGGTATTTATTTATTTTTTCTAAATTAAGACTATTTACTACTTTTACTTTTATTATTACTATTATTATTATTAAACCCGAACTTCTATTAGTTAGTATCTATTACTATTACTAGAAAGCTTATTAGGGAAATAGTAAAAATATACTTTGAAATATAGAAATATAATAGAACTAATAATAGTTTTAATAATAAACTTATTATTTTTCTTAATATTTACTAATATATAAAGCTTTTAAAAAAGATATTAGTAAAAGCTTTTTCTATTATATTAAAGGAATTAATATAAAACTACTTTTATAATAACTAGCTCTTTTAATATATATATAAAAAAGCTTATATAAATATCTATAACTTTTTTAAAAGCTCTGGTTTCTATTATTAAAATTTAGATAAATGAAATACTATTACCTTAATAATTAAAATAATTAAAAACCCTAAAAAAAGAATATTTGAACTTATCTAAATACTAATTAATAACTTATATAAACTATAATATAGCCTTATTTCTATTTTATAAAATACCGAATTCTTATATAATAAAATTATTATTTTTTATTAAGGCTTATTAATATACTAATATATAATTTCAAACTCTTTTAATAAACTTGGCTATCTTATTAATAAGCTCTAATTATTTATTACTATTTATAAAAAGATTAAAAAAATTAATACTAAAACCTATTTTACTAATTAATAATATTATTTTTAAAATTCTTTAAGCTATTATTTATTTGAAAACTATTAATACAAATCCGGCTATAATTTCGAAATTTATAATAAATATTTCAAGCTCTAATTCTTATAAATAAAAGAAATATAATAAATAATTCTCTCTCTTTTAGTATTATCGGAAATATAATAGTTCTTATATATATCTATATACTATTTCAAGAATATAAAGATATTATTTCCCTAAAACTATAGTATTTCAGAAGCTTTTATAAATAGTAGATTTAAATCTAATACTAGTATATATTTATTTTTAGCTATATTAATCTTAATAACTTCTTCTATAATTAATTATTGAGTTTCTATATCTGAGACTTCTACTAATAAGGTTCCTAAAGAACTAATTTCCCGTTTAAATATATCTTTTAATTTAAAAACCGGAATTTGAAAGAAACTAGTTAATAATAATAAATATAATTTAAGTTCGAGTTTTAGTATTAGTAATAATAAAATAGTAGCTTTTCTAGTTTTATTTCTATTACTTATATTCTTTCTTCTATTTTATTAGCTTAATATTTATAATATCTTTTTTTAATTTTATTAAACTAGATATATTTAATAATATTATTAAAAGTAATAATAATAATAATAAAAATAATTTTATTAATTTTTCTGACTTTTCTGAATTTTCTTTTTTATTTCTATTTAGTATTTTTTTCTTTCTTTAAAAGCTTCTTTAGATTATCTATATAATTTCTTATTTCCGATTTCTTTTCGATTTTTATTTCTAGTTCCTATTTACTATTCTACTTAAAATTAAAAGTATTTCCTCTTTTAGATATCTTTTCCGGATTTAGAAATAAGCTTTTTTACTAAAACTAATACTATCTCTATTCCGGTCTTTATTATAACTAAAAATAATATATAAATTAATAATATAATTTTATTTTCGAATATTAAAGTCTGTTTCTAACTAAGGTCTAATTTATACTATTTTAGTATAATATTTTTTATTTTATTTCCTTTATTTCTTTTCTTTCTATAGTTAGCCTCTATTTCTATTACTTCTATATACTATACTAGTAATTATGTCTTATAGCTAACCTATATTCAAGTTACTAGATATATCGGAAATTAATATAAGATACTGAAATTAATATTTATATATCTTTAATATTTTAGCTTTAGACTTAAAATATTATAATAGCCCTTTTCTTCCCAAACTTACTAAGCTAATAATTCGCCTTATAAATACTTCTTAGAACTTTATAAGAATATTACCTTAATTATTAAATTTCGATCTTTCCTATATTATTTATTATAAAATATATAAAAGAGAAACTATAATTAAATTAAAAGTATAAATAGTATATAGTATATAAAAGCTTAATTAATTAAATACTAAAGAGGAATTATTCTCTAGAACTATAGAAAAACTAGCTTTTTTATATAATTTCTATAAGTTATATATAAAAGGCTATAGCCTTTACTATATAACCAAAATCTTAAAACTATTAAAATAATATAATTTTTAGAAAGTATAGCCTACTATACTATAATATTTAATATAATTATTTAAACCCGAATAAATTTATAATAAATAATACCTGAAAATAGAAATATTAGTATTTAATAGCTCTAGACTAAATATATTTAAATATTAAAAAAATTATAATTTTAGGTATTATAATTATAAAGATAAAAATATAAATATTCTTTCTTTTACTAACTTATAAAAGCCAAAATATACTAATAATAATTAAACTATATTCGACTTATATAATTAGCTAATTTATTATACTCTACTGCTTTACTAGTAAATTTAGCGTTATGTAATTACGTAATAACGCATATAACTAGCTAGTATTTAGAATACTAAAGCTCCTGTATATACGAGCTTCCTTTCTTAGTTTAGAATCCTCGGATTAAGAGCTACTCTATTTTGCTTTTCAAGTTCAGAGCCCGGTTTCATAACATTATTCTAAACTCATTCTTGTTCTTATAGAAGAAGTAAACCACTCTTATATCTTATATACAAGTGCGATTTTATAGCAAATTTGACGATAGTACTATTAATATATACGGTTACGGAACTATATACCCTTTAGAGAAATTAAGAGCTTATTAGGCTTTCTCTTACTTCAAGTTTTTACTATAGAGCAACCTTTATAGATCCAGATCGCCACTGCAATTACCGAGCTTTAAACAGAGGTTTAATGCCAAGCTGAGCTACTTTAATAGTAAAGCAATTAGCTCTCTTAGTAAAGCAACGAACTCCTTCTCTTACGAACTCGCCCCTCCTCTACGAAACCGAAACCCTTCCTTCTATATCCCGAAAAATTCAATAGCCAGGTTTACAAGTTCGATTCCTGGCTCCCGTTAATTAAGGCCAAGCTACGAGTTAATAGTAAGGCTATTAGTAATACTACTACTCAGTTCTACTACGTCTACCTTAATCTAGAATCTTATATCCAAGTAATAGTTCTTCCCCAGCTTTCCCAGGCTAAAGATAATTAAACCTGGTCCTACCTCTCGATTCTCAACTAACTCTCTCGTATCTATTCGAATCCGAATAAGGTATAGGAGGCAGAAGACAAGCTATACTCTCTCAAGCAAGGCACTAATTCGCTTTATGCTTTTATAGCTAAATTTAAGTAAATCCTATATGAGGCACGTGAATAAGACTGAAACGACATTAATAAGATTACAGCTTTCCGTTAAGGACTCAATACTATAATTAAGAACAGACTAGCTTAATAGCTGAACCTCTCTCGTACCTATACCAAGTTTATTAAGACTATATAATAACTGGCCGGACGCTCTAATACATACGAATATCCAGTTTGCAACTCTGAGAAGAAGCCTTACTATTTATATGATACTATAGATATATTAACTATTAATACTATTAGTGCGATTACCAAGCCTCCGTAACCCTCCTCTCTATAATACTTTCCTCTACGACCCTCCTCTTCTTTTACGAATAATCGAGTACGATCTACAAGCCCGGCAGAATACTAGCTACTCCGAAAGCAGGGCAAGTATATATGCTATAGAAGTAACGAATACTGGGTAAAGGACTATAATATTTAACTATATAAGGAAACAGGAAAGAAGGTGCCTCCGCCAGGACCTAAGGTTATAGTAGGCGAGAACGGTAGAAAAGTCAGAATCTGTATGGTTAATAATTCTGATTCTGATAGTAGCTATAATTCTGATTACTCAATTAGACCCTATGGCCCCGATTCTGATTCAGATTCAGATTTGGAGGAACTGGCATATTAGGAACTATTGGATCGCATGGATAGGAGACGCCGGAAGTAGGGTATACGAGGAGATTATACGATTTTCGAGCGCTCGGGACAAGCTTTCCTGAAGGGGGGGGTAATATTACGCTCTGCCGCTTCACTGGTAAATTTAGCGTCACGTGATCATGCGATGACGTATACGGCTGGCTAGTATTTAGAACACCAAAGCTCCTGTATATACGAGCTTCCTTCCTTAGTTTAGAATCCTCGGATTAAGAGCCACTCTACTTTGCTTTCCAAGCCCAGAGCCCGGTTTCGTAACATAATTTATTTTACTAATTATAAATAATTCAAAATAATTTAAATTTCCTTAAATCTCTATATATAACTTATTATATATACTTCTATATCTCTATACCTAGTAATATTATAATTATAATTTTTAGATAAAAAGAATTCCCTTATTCTAGTATATATAATTATATTTATTTCTTATTTTTCGAATATATAATTATTAAATTAGAAAGGCTTAAAAATTCTAAATAATACTTTCTTTTAAAAGATATATATCCTTAATAAATACTAAAAGTAAATATGGAATTATATAATAATATAACTATTCTATACTAATACCTTTATTAATACCTTTATTAATACCTCTATTAATATTAAGAGCTAGTATCTAACTATTTTATAACTTTTCTCTCCTTCTCTAAACTCCTTTTCCGAATTCCTTCTCTAAACCCCTCTTCCGAACTCCTTCTCTAAACCCCTCTTTCAAATTCCTCTTCTAAACCCCTCTTCCTTTAATACTTCTACTATTAATACTAAGAGCTAGTATCTAATTACCTTATAACCTTTCTCTCCTTTTCCAAACTCCTTCTCCTTTAATACTTCTACTAATAATACTAAAGCTAGCATCTAACTACTATTTCCGAATTACTTCTATCTAGAACTTCTATATTATAAGTCTTTAATCTATTTACTTCTTAGAAAGCTAAATTTTAGATCTTTTTTCCTCTTTTCTAATATCTCCTTTTTCCCTTTTCTAATATCTCTTATATTTTCGGGCCCTTTAGAAATACCTTCTCTCGAACTTCTAAAAAAGAGGCTAACTTCTATTTAGATCCCTTTAAACTTTAATACTTTCTCCTCTTTTCTAATACCTCTTATACCTTCGGGCCCTTTAGGAATACCCTCTTTTAAACTTCTAAAAAAAGAAGCTAACTTCTATTTAGATTCCTCCGAACTTTAATATCTTCTTTCCTTCTTTAATACTTATAAAAGCCTTTAGGCTATTATTAAATACCCCTATTTTTTATCTTGAAATATATACTAACTTATTCTTATAGGAAATAGCCTTTCTCTTTCTAATCTTAACTCCTTTAATATATATTTCTTGCCTTTAGGCTATTTAGATATCTTCTTATTTACTTTTATAAAATATATACTAATTTATTTTTTAGTTCCTCTTATCTTACCTCTCTTTTAATATTACTATATATATATTTAGTTAGTATTAGTTCTTATAATCTATAATTAGGCTTTCTATTTATTAAATATCTGGATATTTTATTTTATTTTTATTTTATATATTTTATTTTATATATTTTATTTTATATATTTTATTTTTTTATTTTATATATTTTATTTTATATATTTTATTTTATATATTTTATTTTATATATTTTATTTTTCTTTTATTATAGATTAGAATTCAAATAATATTTACCTTAAATATTTATACTCTCGGATATATAAGACTTTTATAGATCTTTCGGGATTATAAACTAGCCTATTTTAGTTTAAGGAAGCTTTCTTGAAAGTATTCTAGAAGTTATAGTATTTATTATAATTTCTTTTAAAAATTAATATATAGTTAGTAGCTATATATCTGTCCGATTCGCTTAAATAATTGCGCTTTTACGTATTCAACCATCCAACCTACCTACTAATACGTGCTCCAGGAATACTATGCCCACCCTTAGGGGAGGTCTCTCCTAATACAAGATCTCGAGTAGTAAGTGCTCGCGATTATAGTATTAAATTTGCAGCGATTAGGCGCCTAGAAAAGCTTGCGGACTCGATATACCGGAAGATCTACAAAAACGCGTCTTATTAGATCTCCTATATTACTCCTTCTTACAAAAGTATACCCTCTGTCCTTACTATTGGGGACCACCGGCTTATATAATATATAATTATAATTAATCCGAAGATTACTGCCCAGTAGCTTTTTGTTTCCTGCATATTATACTCCTCCAAGAAGACAATCTACCGGTACCTCAAGAAATCGGGTATTCAGAAGTGACATATAAAGCAGAGGCCATTTCTTACGGCAGAGTATACTCTCCTATATATGGAATAGGCTATAAAGTATAATAGGAAGCCGGTGGAATATTAGAGAAGGTTACGGTAGTCTAATAAGTACTTAGTTGAGCGTGGGAAGGGGAGTGCTATCGAGTGGGTATATTGCCGGCGGGGTAAATCACCCCCTCCTTTATATCTAATATACTCTTACTAATTATATATTAATGCTTATAGGTAAAGGCCTAGAAATCTGGGTAATTCAAACCAAGCCTCTAAAGGGGAAAATATAGATATTCTAGGTAGTATTCGGTTTTGGGTATAAGAGTAACTTAGTAGTAATAGAGGGGGACCAGAAAACAAAGAGGGGGGGCATTATAGCTAAAGTATATCTTGAGGTCCTTGCCGAATACCTTCCTATAATACTTAAATATAATAGTATCTTTATATAAGATAATACCCCTATCTATAAGGTATATAAGGTTACGGAGTTCTTTATAGAGATGGGAATAGAAGTTATAGCCTGGTTACTATATTCTCCGGACTTGAACCTAATAGAAAATCTATAGAAGATACTAAAAGCGGAAATTAATAGAGTATATCCTGAGCTTAAGGATATAGGTAATAGCCAGGCTGTAATGGACTTTATAATATAGTATATATAGGAAGTATGGGAGACATTGATATCAAAGCTCTTAAATAAGCTAGCTAAGGGAATACAAAAGCGTATGAATACTATAAAGGCCGCAAATGAATAGTATACAAAATACTAAATTAGTAGAACTATTAATTGAGCTCTTAGTTATTATATGCTTTAATTAGAATGGGAATAGCTTCGATACTGCCTAATTAATAGGATAAATACTATAGTGAGTTGTGGTAGGGGAATTGCGATTTAAGCAAGTCGGATAGATATATGGCTATCTACTATAATATAAGTAATTCTGGTTTATTCTTTTTCTATAAAGTAAACTGCTATTCTAAGTTTATATAAAAGTTCTAATTATTTCTTAAATTAAAATATAGGTATTTTTTATTTTTATTAAATTAGATATAAAGAATAGCAGGTACCTTTAGGCTAGACTATAGTACTAGTTAAATACTAAGACTTCTTATATCTTATAAGATATTACTTATAGCTCGAGGTATATTATATTTAATAGGGCTTTAATATTTAATTATTTTATATTATAATAAAATATTTTAATATTATAGTTAGGGAAGTTCTATTTTATAATCTTATTTACTATTTATAGATTTTCTAGCTAATAAGTCTTAGCTAATAGCTAAGAAACTTATTAGCTATTTTATCTAAAGCTTTTAGAAATAGAAAGTTATTCTAATAAAAACTTAATATTAAAAATAGATTTAACTAATTAATTTAAATAAGAAGTTTATAGTAGAAGTTTCTATATATAAATAATTCTATATAATAAACTCAAGTTCCTATTTCTGGTTATATAAATCGTAATATATAATAAACTCAAGTTTTTATTTCTAGTTATATAAGTTATAATATATAATAAATTCAAAATTTTTCTAGTTTATTAAAATTTGGGTTATTTTTAGAAGAATTAGTAAGCTTTTCTAGATAGACTTATTAAGGCCTTAGTTTTCAAAGATATTAATCCAGTCTTTTTATTCTTTCTTTAAATAATAATTCGGCTCTTAGAAATTATATATAAATATCGGAATAAATAAAGAAATATATTATATATACTTTCTAGATAGATTAGAATAGAATCTATAGAATTCCTATAATAATATTAAATCTATAATACTAGCTAATAAAGACTTTAATAACCTTAATAAAACTTGAATTATAAGTCTGGCCTTTAGATTTCCTATTTAATTTAAAGATTAAATAATCTATAATAGGTTATTTATTATAGAATATATTATATTCTTTTTCTAAAAAATACCGGATACTAGTAATAGTTTAGAAGCCCTAAAGCCCTTAAGACTCTTTATAAGTTTCGGGCTTTAGGGCTTTTTTATAACTAGTTAATTATATAGAGTTATATAACTATATAAGTCTAATATTAATATAAAGTAATTAGTAACTTTATATATAAATATAATATAGTTTTTAGTATAGCTAGTTTAATATATTATATATTTATATATAAATATCTATAATTTTATTATTATAATATAATATATCTTTAATATATCCTTAATATAAAGATCTTTTTATAACCCTAGACTTTTAGAAGCCTCTTTTATACTAAAAGTAAAATATATAATATAATTTAGGTATTAAACTTAAAAGGTAAAGAATTATAAAAGCCCTAATAATTATAAGACTTTATAAACTTAAATAGATTTAAATATTATAAAAGTATTAAATTTAATAGCCTGATTTTTAAATTATATAAGAATTAATTAAAGAATATTACTTTAAAATATTAATTATAAATTTCAAATATATATATATTTATAAAAAAATAAGACCCAAAATAGTACTAAGCTAATTATAAGATATAAGAAAAAGTATATTAGATATTAGACCTATTTTTTTTCAATTACCTTAATTTCGATAAATATTTATATATAATTTATTAGATTTTATATAATGGGTTTATTTAGGAAAAATAAGGTTAATTAGTTTAGGAAATTTAATAATAATAGTTAGATTTCTGTTTAGTATAATAGGCAAAATACTAGTAATAGCCCGGGTATTTTGGGTTTTATTTATAAAGCTAAAGATATTATATTTATTAATTTTTTATATTTAATAAAAAAAAATATATATATTTATATCTTTAATATATCTATTATTATAGAATAATACTTATATAATCTATAAGATTAATTATAGTTTCTTTTACTAGAAAAGAAAATAGTAAAGTTAAAAAAGAATCTAATAGCCTATTACTATTATTATTATTAATAGCTTTAATATTATTATTATTATTATTAGAATTAATAGCCGGTGCCCCTCCCACGCGCTTCGCTTGTGGTCGGGATAAGCAAGTATCTCGTTTAACCAAGTATCCTATCGAGAAAATACACGCCCTAAAATTTACATATAATCCTTACCAAAAAACACGTCTTGTAATTACGCATTTGGCCCAACTTATTAACTAATTTATTATTTAATTCATATATAAAGATTCCAAAAATAGATATATCTTTATTTAATTCTACTAGGATTAGAGAGATATCCTGGGAGTATTTCTATTATCCACATACTACGGAAGCTAATTACTACCATATCTTTAATAAGGCCTGCGAATAGTGCCTTGAGAACAATAATAATTCAGTAATTACTACTACGAGAATATATTATATTAAGGAAGCTTCTTTGCAAAAATCAGTACTCCGCAAGCATAATAAGAAGAGGAACTTCCAAGGACTCTATAATACGTATAGTAGTAATAATAAGATCCTAAATAAGGCACAGGAGAAGGCAATTCGGCAATATTACTACGAGCAATAGGAGGCTGGTTTGGGTACTATATATCAGATAGTTCAAGCCGCAATTGCCCACTTAAAGGCTATAAGTGCTTCTTTTAAATCTAATAATATATCTAACGTAATTAGACTAAATCTCCCCCAAAACCACCCCCTTCGGCCACTTAGTTTAGCCTCTGGATACGGAACCACAAGATACTTCATATGATTAAAACAAAGCCAATTACATATATACGACTCGAGTCCTATATAGAAAAGAATATTAGAATATGGTTTCAGAAATATTATAATATCCTAGAGAAGCTTTATATTATAAAGGAGAAGAACGTTCTGAATATAAACGAGTCAGGAGTACGTATTAGTTACCCTACTAGTAAGTATGTAATTATACCCATAGAGATAAAAGAACTATATACGGCCAGCCCTGAGAATCGCAAATCAGTTATAATAATCGAGACTATTTATACGGATAGTCGTAAACCTTTTCCGCCATTTATAATTACTTCTGGGAAGAAGATTATAGATAATTAGGTATTAGAAAACCTGATCGGAATAGAGTATATTAAGTATACGCCTACCGGGTATATAAATAATAATATAGCTATAAAATACCTCGATTATTTAATCAAGTATTCAAGAGCTAGGCCAGATAAACCTTGGAAAATCCTTCTCCTAGACAGTTACGAATCGTACGTCTATAAACTATTTTAATTAAAGGCCGGGAAATATAATATCAAGCTATTCTAGTTTCCCTCTTACTTAATATACGTCCTTTAACCACTTAATATTAGTATATTCCGCCCCTGGAAGTACTATTATAAAATAGCAATTTATACAGCCCTCCGTTCCCTTAATTTTAAATATATAATTACCTTCTTTTTCCGTAATCTTACCCTAATTCATACGCAAATAATACAAAAGTATATAATTAAGAATGCCTTTAAGAGCTCTGGTATATAGCCCGTTAGTTATAAAGCTGGAATTAAAAAGATACGATTATATAAAAAGAAGAAGAGATTAATTAAGGAGGTTAAGGAAGAGAAGAGCTTAGATCTTCCCCCTTTATTATCTACTCGCCCCAATAAAGTATAAAATATAGCCGCAACCCTTAGGGCACTTGCAGATTATAATCCTACTACTTTTTCAGAAAATTCAAAGGAAACTTAGATAGCTATAGTTAAAAAGGTTAATATCTAACTACAAAAAAGTCATCTCCAGATAATAGAGTACTAGGCTCTCTAAACAAAGCTTTATAAGAAGTATAATCGCAAGGCAAAGTCCCGTAAAAGCTCATATAAGAGAGGGCCATCTGCTAGTATAGCAGAGCTTTATATAGAGATTAAAGAAAAGAAGGAGAAAGATAATAGAGAAGCTCTTTGCAAGGCTAAAAAGAAGCTCGCTACTACCGTAAATCGAGCTAAAAATCAGCTCAAGGATACCGGGATTCAAGCTCGCAAGAATAAGAAAGCTAGACTAGCTAGAATCATAGAGTATTAACTAAAGAATAAGCTAATTCCAATAGAGGATATAGTACCAATTCGCAAACCTAATAAATACCCTACAATTATCGAACGAGCTCGCTATAAGAAGGACTTTTACCCTAATTTATAGCTCGTAATTCGCTAGCTTACGGCATCCCTCAGTAATCTAGCCCCCGATCGGCTAGAGGCACCAAATACCTTTATTAATATTAACGGGGATGAGAATATAGTAATTAATACTACTAAACGGAAGTATTAAAAGAAGAGGATAGGAGAATATATAAACTCAAGTCTACCCTCCCTTATTATTCCAGACTCTTCAGATATAGAAAGTAATACGGGCTCAATTAATAGTATACAAGCAAATACCAATTTTGTATAGTTCTAGATAGCTTTATATTTTTTATAACTAGTATCCTTAAATTCCATTACAAATATACTTGATTTTATATATAATACGTACCAAAAATCAAGAATCGGCTAAAATCTCGATAGGACACTTGGTTAAACAAGACACTTGCTTATCCCGACCACAAGCGAAGCGCATGAGAGGGGCACCGGCTATTAGCTTTAATAGTACTTTCTGTAATACTTTTTATATTATTTTATAGCTTTCAAAAGTTAATAAATAGAGAAGAATTCTAGTATATATAAGTTAATTAAATCTAAAAACAAAAAAGAGTCTATAGAAGAAATAAAGAATAGAAGCCAGAATTAAAAGAGAGAATTATATATTATAGGAGAGAAACTATAATAAAACAAAAACCTATATAAAGTATATTAGAGTATAAAACGTAACTTAATAATAAAATAATAAATCAAAAGTATAAATAGTAAAGTATAAATAGTATATAGTATATAAAAGCTTAATTAATTAAATATTTATAAAGGATTATTCTCTAAGTTTATAGAAAAACCAGTTTTCTTATATGATTTCTATAAGTTATATATAAAAGGCTATAGCCTTTACTATATAACCTAAACCTCAAAATTACCAAAATAATATAATTTTTGAAGAGTATGGCTTGCTATACTATATCCAATCCCCTATTTATTTATACTTATTCTCTAAGTACTAAAAATAATAGAAAAATCCTATTCAGAATCTGAAATAATAAAATATTTAAGATCCTCTTCTATTAGTTAATTCAATTTCTTTTCTATATACCTAAAATAAGACTTATTATCCTCAAATAGTCTTATTTTATATTTCCGAACTTATTTAAAAGTAATTCAAATCTATTTAGCTATATTCTTATACTAAATCCGATATAGTTCTCTATATTAATTAGTATCCGCCTTTAACTATTATTTAATTTCCGCCTTTACTATAGGATATTAAAGAGGCTTATTATAGTAAATTATATTATAAATCATACCAATATATTTCAAACGGATAGCTCTTTCGAATTTTATATTATTTATAGTATTCTTGAATTAACCTTTAATAGGAGGGGAAAGCTCTAGATAAGAGGCTTTAATAATCTTATAGGAGACTTCATTTTCATATATTCTATTCTTAATAGTAACTAGATTTATAGGAACTATAATAAAAGGCCTATTAAATAGCAAATTGTTATTAAACTGTCTTTTAACTTATATATTATCCGAGAATTAATACTTTCCTATAATTCCAGACTTATAGATTACCTAGCTAAAGGTATTTATTTATCTAATTAAATAGACTATATTTAGAGTCTTTTTTCCTACTACCTTTAGTAAATACTTGCCTAATTCCTTAGCTACTTCCGGCTTAAATTTATTAGAAATAGAAAAGTAATTAATATTTTTAAAAAACTTCTTACTAAAGGTAATAGCCTTCTTATAGTCTATAAGGAAAATATAGCTAATATTTTAATACTTTTTACTAAAGTAGAATTCACTATTTAAAGCTTTAGTAATAGTTAGATCTTTAGTATTGCCTTTATATTAATTATAATTAATATTTCCAGAAGTAAAATATCAGATTAGCTAAAGGTAAATAACTAGATAGACAGGATACTTACTTAATATTTTGTAAAATCCGAGCTATATTAATAGATCTACTATTAAAAGTTAAGAGGCTAAGATAAAATAGCTATTATTAAGATTTCTATATATTAATATATTATCTTTTCGGAAATAGAACTATAATATCTCTATTTCTTCTATTAAAAGCTCTCAAATATTAAACTTCTTAATCTATTTTAGGTAATTCTTTTTATAAATATAGCTATTAGTACCCAGATTAGTAGTACTAGATTCAGGAATAGAAACTATAGTATTAAATTAAAGCTATAGATTAAAGTAAAATTAATTAGAAATATAATACTTATATTTATACTTTTTAATTTCCTGGTTCTTAAAAAAGAAATCTTATATTTCCTTATTTATTTAAATAACGGAAATATACTTCTTGCCTTTAGTAACTTTATAGATCTTAGTAACTAGCTTTAGAGTATCCTTAATCTCTTATATATTAATAGAAAGAGTATTAGTAAATTACTAAATATATATTATATAAAGAGCTTTAAAGAATCCATTATTAATCCTATAGTATTCTTATTTATAGATAGGTTTTATAATACTACTATATACCTCCTTAAAAATATACTTATTCTATTAAATAAATATTAACTTCTATTTAGCTAGTATCTTATAGGTATACTAGATACTTTTATTAAGTTCTCCGGACTTAATACCCTTAGTTTTCTGCTTCTTGGTTCTGGATATAGTTATAAGAGCCTTTTTAGACAGTATCTTTCTCTTTAAAATAGAGGATTCCTCCTTATTTTCTTCTAGTTTACTAATCTTACATTTAGTCTAATACTTAGATCTCTACTATTTATTAGGAGTCTTAGGCTTAGCTTATTTTCTATTCTTACCAGGTTCTTCTTATCTAGTTATATTAGTTCCGTTAGCCTTACTAATAGTTTTCTTTCTAGTAGTTTCCTTACTAAGCTTTATTAAATTAGCTCTATTTTTCTCAGCTAGATCCAATTAAATTAAAGCTGAAATTATAATAGGGGCCTATTCTTTAGGCTTATCTTAAGAAGTAGGAAAAGGCTTATTACTATAAACTCCCTTAATTAGGATTCCGGAAATATTAAAGATATACTATCTAGCTTTAAGATTATTAGCTAATAATAGCTTAAACTCCAATTCTCTATATTCCGAAATAGCTTTAGTATACTTGAGTATTTTAGTAATATCTGATTTATTAAATATATTAGTATTCTAATATTTCTTATTTTTAATATATTCCAAAATAGCTTTATTAATTAACTAAATAGCTTTATATATTAAAGCTTTTATTTTAAAAAGAAAATATAACTTTTTATAAATATTTTTACTAAGATTATTATAAATATTATTAATATATTAGCCAAAAGCTTTACTATATAGTATAATTCTATTCTAATCCTTAGTATTAAAACCGTTTACTATAGTCTTAATCTTATTAAGCTTTTTTTATCTGCTTTTAGAAATGCCTTTAATAATATTCTCGAATTCCCTATTATTGGTTTAGTAGTTCTTTAGCTCCTTTTTAGTTAATTCTAGTCTAGTTCCGTTTCTAATAAAGGTTTTCTATTTTAAGAGCTTATTATATATACTACTTAGCTTATCTAGGATATTTGTATTGAATTCGGTAATTATAGCTATCTTTTCTGGTATTAGTAGGCCTTTTATAACTACTCAAGCTCTTTTAATACTCTGAATTTTAATACTATTAATCTATAGGCTTTTAATAATACTATAGCTTATAAGAACTAGCTATTATATTTTATTAACTTGAGGAATCTATTCTTTAGCCATTTTATTATTCTTAATAGGTAATAAAAGTATTATTAGTATAATAGTTATAAGTTATAGAATTAAGGGTTTTTAAGATTATAAGAATTTCTTTTAAATATATTTCAAAACAAAAAATAAATTAAAACAGTTTTGGATTATATAAATATATTATATATATTCAAGTTTTTCTTTTTTTCTAATAAGAAAACAAAGCTAAAATAGTAGTATATATAATAGAGAAAATAAATATAATAATTAGATATATTTAAGGTAATATAATTATAAATTAGAAATAATTATAGAAGATAAAATATAGAATTAGGCTTCTATTATAGAAAAGAATATAAATATATATATCCAAGGGAATATAATTAAAGAAATAATTAAGGCAGATTAAACTAAATAGTAATAATAGAGAAATAAAAAGGTAATATAATAGAAATATAAATATAATAGTAATATCTAAAGTATTAAAATATAAAAGGAAATAATAAAAATTTTATAATATAGGTATATTTCAATCTTTTATTTATTTGGAAATATTTCTATTAATTTAAAAAATAGTATAAAAAAAGGAAAATAATATAGGAAATATATAAAAGATAAGATATATAAATATACTAAAAATATTAGAGAAAATATAAAATAAATATTAATAGAAAAGGAATTAGAATAATAGAATTAAGAAATAACTCAGAATAAGAT